CCGAGTGTGCTTGCTTTTCTCTTTGAAAGTCATCACATAACGTCATTGTAATACACGGTTCGGCTGCATTAAATATTACATATCTGCCGTAGTTCTGTATTTATAGAGCCCTGATGAGAAGACTTCTAGACAAACATGAGGAACTGAAAACGTGACGTGGATCATAAATATATCAGCCATTAAACAACATCTTACATTTATTTTCACACAATACGTCTCGTTGCAGTATCAACACTAATTCGGCTGACTTTTATATTTGATCCAATTGGTAGATAGGCTGTATTTACACCATAAAGGTGCACAGCTGATATAAAGGGACATAGTGGTTAAAGCATGTTATTGAATTTCATTATTTTTATTATTAGATATTAATAGGATCCCTATAAAGTATATTCATTACTCGTTATTCTCTACTAATAGTTAATTAAAGACTGTATATAATGACTATTTTGCACATCCCTTTCAAGATTTTCTAAGGTTTATTGACATATCATATAGGCCTACACAACTATGGTGTAGTTCTGCATTGAATGAAAAACTTGGGTCGCAGGTTCCTCAATAGTGCATTACAAGACATCTATCAATATTTGTGCATACCTCCAGCAATGTTAACTATGTTGAAGCACTTATTTTAACTGATATTATACATAATGTATTATACTCTTATAAGATGTATGTAGATATTTCATCTCCGGCCTTGTCAGGTATTGAACAATCAATAAATAAAGAAGAATTGTTAAATATAAAACACAGAATTTGTGTGATTATACTAAATGATTTACAAATAAACACCACTGCATATTTACAACTGTTACACATGCTGATGTAACGCAAATGTTCCAACTTGGGATCAATAAAGTATATCTTATCTTAAGCTGATCGATGGCTATACTGCCATATTTGCAAAATGTGCCTCTGAACCTTAACAAGTGCATGTTTCAGGCTTATCAATTAATGTAATGTAATGTTATCAATTAACAACAGGGGTCACAAACATAAGACCAGCTGTTAAATAAAGCTCTTCTGACCTTAGCTGGCATGTGTGTATATATATTAATGCTGCCCATTATGGGCACAAGCAATTTTCACCCATTTATTAATTATATGTTTTAAATGTGAGTGTTTCCTATCCCCTAAACCTCCAGGGATGTACACAGTTTAATACTGGCAACTTCTTATTATGGGAAATACGAAAACGTCTTTTAAAACTACAACTCCCAGTAGAGACGTGCCATAGATAGAGAACATGTTGCGAAACAGAATAGCCAGCATGTGTAGTTCTGTGGATGGGGTGGGGGAGGGGGGGACGCGGTGGACCCGTTCAAATCCAGTTTTGGACAGTCTGCCGTGATTCCATCCCATTTCAAGTGCTGTTCGAGGCTCGGCGTAACCCTCGGAGCACACTCTCCAATCACAGAGCTTGAGGACTATCACGGGGTTTGTCAAACAGAGCACATGGTGTAGTCCAAACGATAGCTGGGGATTGTGGGTAGTGTAGTGTCTTCTGCCATCCTTTACTCAGAAAAAACATTTGTTTCTCCGAATCGAAGGGGAAAAATACAAAAGCATTGCACACAATTTAAACCAATCAATGTTGTGTAATTAACAAGGATAATCTGGTGTTTTTTAGTCAATGAGTAGTGCAGATATCACTGTAAAATCAATCGACAGTAAGAGGAATACTTACTTCCGGGTGTACAATTCTCCGTTATCCAATGGGAACGGACGCTCACATTGCCTTTAAAGGCAGCCGACACAAACGAATGCCGTGCTTCCATGAGCGTCAAATCCCGCCGCAGATGGGAATACATTGCAATCAGTTGAAAGCTATTTGCGTCCCTTTATGACGCTGAAGGAGCCTAGGAGCGTCACAACTGGACGCCACGGACACTGACCAAACGTCGCTCCTGGACGCTTAGGGAGTGAGAGTGTGTTGGCTTATTGTAGTTGTAAGGGCACTGCCTGTGGCACCATGGAGCATACGTGTGGGCTGGACCTGTATTTTACAGGAAAGGAGTGAGCAGAGGGTCGAGTTGTCGATTCTTGTTCAGTTTTCTGTGACTCCTCACTCTCAGACTTTGAGTTGTGCGCGCTGCTAAAGAGACGTGCTACCATGGAAACCAAACAATGGTGTAGCTGTATTAAAGTCCGAGTGGAAACAGTCGTGAGTATATCTGATTTTGTCAGAAATCGGGAGAAATATGACCCCGGGAGGAAACCCGGAGAGGGCAATGAAATCGGGAGTCTCCCGCGAAAATCGGGAGGGTTGGCAAGTATGACACACACACACACACACACACACACACACACACACACACACACACACAAACATTATGTTCGTATTTAGTCTCCTGATTTTAAATGGGAATTAAATCATTTGAGTGTTCCCAAAGCACCAGTGTTCTGCAGTTTGTGTGGGCCTACTGTACTGTTGCACAGTTTTGGAAGATTCATAGCTAACCACACTGAAGATTATGGATTATCTCATATTTTTAAGTCTCAATTTGTCGTCGTCCCCCCCCCCCCTCTAACATCACCAGAGAAGTCATAATTTAAGGGGTAATTTCTCAAAATGTTCTTCCGGGGGAGCATCCCCCCGGACCCCCCTAGTATCCATAGCCCCACCAAAAATATTTTCCACCAGCCGCCACTGGCCACCACTGCTTGGGAGAAAGAAACAATGTGATATTTGGGCCAGTTTTTGCTACAATGAGGTGGAGAAAAAAAAAGAATTGTTTTATCAGAAGGGAAGCAATGTGGCCATAACACAGCTGGTAAAGACACCACAAACTGACCAGATACTCTCTGCAAAGCTGCTTTCTAATCAACCTGTATTTTTCATCAAATAAGGACAAGATATAATCTTATTGTGAAATAAGTTTGACTAAAAGGACAAATTATTGGTTTTGGCTAGACTAGTTTGACTGAAATGTTCTATATAATCTCATGACTAAAAAAGACTCAACAGTTTTCATTGACAAAATGTAGACTAAAATTATTAGTTTGCTTTGACTAAAATAAGACTAAAATGCTCAGACTTTTAGTCGATTAAACCTTGACTAAATAAAAACAGGATGAAGGTGACTAAATATGACTAAAACTAAAAAGGAAATTTAACAAAGGACTAAGACTAAAATTAAATAAAAAAATAGCCGACGAAATTAACACTAATTAGACAGCATGATTATTGCACAGGTGTGCCTTAGGCTGCTCACAATGTTAGCCACTCTAAAACACAGCACAACGCCAGAGATGACGCATGTTTTGAAGGAGCGTGCAATTGGCATGCTGACAGCAGGAATGTCCACCAGAGCTGTTGCCCGTGAATTGAATGTTCATTTCTCTACCATAAGCCGTCTCCAAAGGCGTTTCAGAGAATTTGGCAGTACATCCAACCGGCCTCACAACCACAGACCACATGTAACCACACCAGTCCAGGACCTCCACATCCATCATCTTCACCTGCAAAATCCTCTGAGACCCTCGGACAGCTGATGGAACAATCGCTTTGCATAACCAAAGAATTTCTGCACAAACTGTCAGAAACCGTCTCAGGGAATTTCATCTGCATGCTCGTTGTCCTCACCAGGATGGGGTTATGGTATGGGCAGGCGTATGTTATTGACAGCGAAAACAGGTGCATTTTATTGATGGCATTTTGAATGCACAGAGTTACCGTGACCAGATCCTGAGGCCCATTGTTGTGCCATACATCATCCACCATCACCTCATATTGCAGCATGATAATGAACGACCCCATGTTGCAAGGATCTGTACACAATTCAAGCTGAAAACATCCCAGTTCTTGCATGGCCTGCTTCCTCAATTGATTGTGTGGATCAACATTCCACACAATCAACAACCTGATCAACTCTATCTGTTGCACAACTGCCAAAGAAAAAGTATTATTTCACAAAAGTATTGGAAACTATTCAAATACAATGTGCAGAATGGCCCCATCATTTTCATGTTGGAGCTGATTGAGGTTAAAATTGGTCAATTCTTTATATATTTTTCTTTCTTTTTTAGCAAAGTTTGAAATAAATGCAGAAAAACACATGACAGTTTTATTAGAAAAGTTTAAAAGTTTAAGGATAATGTAGCATAGTACCTCAAACTGTTTCCCTAACAATGCACTTAGTTAGTGTACTTTATCTTTCCTTGTTGAATCATTTGCACCAGAAAACTGGTCAGGATGGTTGTTGGTGGTGTAAAGGAATATTTTAGTCTGATGCTTAGCTGACCTGAGAAACTTCACATGAGTGACTACTCTTTCTCTGTGTGGGTGAGGGGCTTGGGGCACTTAAGGAGGGGCAATATATGCAGTCTTTGTCCTTGGTGTCTGGTAATGATTAGGGGAAAGGGCGGGCTGTTTAGACCCCTCCTTTAAAAGATATATAGAGATGTTTCTGTCTTTTGTGTTTAGAGTTAATTTTGGCAGCTTGCATTCAACAGTGCGAGTTGCTTTGTTAATCCTCCGGCCGTTTTGTCTCTCAATAAATATCAGTGTATTGACTAAGGCGAATCCAGTTTCCCTCATTTCATGATTGGCTCAACATTGCTGCAAAGAAGTTTTTACTTCACAGGTGGCTTCAGGATGAAGCAGATCTGAAGTGTTGCAGTACACAGCCCTGCTCAGACACCTCGGTGGGCTACATGAATATTCTCATGAAATAAAGATAATAACTAATTGTTTTGAAACCTAATGGTGATTCATTCATTGACTTAATTTGCCTTGGATCAAAAATACAAATTCAATTAATGAAAGTAGAAACAGACACATTAATGAATGATCTGATTGAAAGTGGGTTGATGGGTCTAAACAGTGTTTCAACCCTATGGTGGGTTTAAGAACTGTAAGATTCTCTGACTTTAGGGTTAGATCTTAAATTATGATATCTTCATTTGAACCCCCCCCCCCCTCCCTGTCTGCTGCAGGCACCACACGGTTGACCCAGCCTTTGTGGACGGCTGATGTTTGATGTCTTTTGTCTCCTCAGGGAACTGGAGGACTATGTGGAGCGTCTGCAGCGTAGCTCCGCTCCCAGTACCGAGCAGCTGTCCCTCACTCTGAGAGAGGTGGAGGATGGAGCAGTTAACCTGTGGCGGGTTGGAGAAGCTCTGGCCCTCCTCAAAGGTCTGAATCAATGGAAACATAAAATACTTAATTGTTAGGGGTCACACTTAAATGTGTTTGTCATTTTATGTGATGACAGTAGTACGCCTCAAAAGGGGCTACCAAAATGTTGGGTTTAAGTATGAGCAGGTCAGGTTATTAGCACTTATTATATAAATAGTACTAAATATTTATAAAATCTTAAATAGGTGTTGATAATAACTGTCACTGGAGTTAATCTAGTCCATTAGCTCAAAAAAACATTTAAATTAAATAGTCAGAAAGAATCAATATTTTTATATCATTTTATATATTCCTAAACTATATTACTTTTTATGATAAGATAATTGACGGAAACACAAAAGCTGAACTAATGTGAGATGGTCACGTGTATTGGTGCTGCCGGGTTAAGAAGATAGAGTTTGTGTAGGACTGTGTCTGTGTGTGTCTCTCATGTGGCCATTAGCTCAACAATAGATCACACAATTAAACTTAGTGAACAACCAAAAATTCCTGTAAGGCAAGGCAAGGCAAGGCAAAAATTCCTGTACACACATTTACAACTGTACAGTAGTCCTATGCTTCTTTAGCCCTGTAAAGTTAATGAACTAAATATATACAATGACGGGTGGATGGTTATTCCATTAAAGCAAATCATACTTAGCTGATAGTTTGTTACCTTAGCTGGGGAACCTGTCCGGTGTAGAACAGCTGTGCCTCTGTTGCTGCAGCGTGTTGTCAGTTGAATGGTCAGTAAGCTGTGTTGTTATCCTGCAGAATACAATTAGTTTTGTTAGCATTGCCAACTGTGGCTCAGTGCTGGTTGACTTAAATACTTTGAATATGCTTGCATTTGTGCTGTCAAAGATGGGTCCAGTTCAATGCACATATTGGCACTGGAGACCCGTGGTGTGGAAGTTCGAGCAAGGACGCAAGAGAAAGATAGCATCATGATGTTTACTGCTCTACATTTCCATTAAGCCGGATATGAGCGGTCAAGCTCACGAGGGGGTTTAAAACTGATGGACGGGAAACGTTGGGTTGGAAAACAAACAAAGTTTATTGGAAGCACTGAGGGAGTTAACACAAAAAGGGGGTTAACATAAATGTAGGCTCCGGTTCTGCCCCTCTATTCACAGAGGTGGCTGGGGGGTTCACGGTCCTCCTCCCAGGACCCAGTCTACTGCAAGAGACCAGAATCGGGTTACCAGCATGCTTTGTACTGCGAGCTTAATTACCTGATTCTGATCAGCTGTCTGGTCTTCGGCCGAGCTACTCCCATCACTCCCATCACTCCCATCACTCCAGCAGCCGGCGCTCTAATCACACCCCGCTGCCACATACCCCACCGCCCGACTCAGGCCGGGGTCCCGCCGGCCAAGAACTGACTCCTCCGCCGAGCAAGAGAGGAAATCAGTCACGACCATCCGGTTACCCGGCCTGTGGACCACCTTGAAGTTAAACGGCTGTGACACCAGATACCAACGAGTGATGCGGGCGTTGGCATCCTTCATGCGGTGGAGCCACTGGAGCGGGGCATGGTCCGACCAGAGGGTGAAAGGGCGCCCCAGGAGGTAGTACCGCAGGGCGCCGACCGCCCACCACATGGCGAGGCACTCCTGCTCCACCGTACTGTAGTTCACCTCCCTCTGGGCGAACTTACGGCTAATGTAGAGTACGGGGCGGTCGACCCTCTCTACCTGCTGGGACAAAACGGCCCCCACCCCACTGTTTGAGGCGTCAGTCTGCAACACAAAAGGGAGAGAGAAGTTAGGAGTGTATAAGAGCGGCTTTCTTAACCCTCTCGAACGCCAGCTGACACCGCTCCGTCCACTGGACCGGATCTGAAGCACCCTTTCGGGTCAGGTCGGTCAGGGGACTGGTCAGCTCAGAAAAGGCCGGGGTGAACCGCCTGTAGTAGCCGGCCAGCCCCATGAACCTCCTGACCTCTTTTTTTGTCCTGGCCACCGGACAGGCGGAAATAGCGGCTGTTTTTTCTATTTGTGGCCGCACCTGGCCGCCGCCCAAGTGGTACCCCAGATACCGTACCTCCCTCCGCCCAACCGCATACTTATTCGGATTGCCGTGAGCCCCGCCTGCCTCAGGGACTCGAGCACTGCCTCCACCTGCTGCATATGCTGCTCCCACGTCTCACTGTGAATGATGACATCATCCAAGTAAGCAGCAGCATATGCAGAGTGGGGACGCAGGACCCGGTCCATGAGCCGCCCTTAACTAGGTCCAAGACGCCATGGGGCTTCCTGCCAAATAATAGCTCAAAGGGAGAGAATCCCGTGGAGGACTGGGGCACCTCCCGCACTGCAAACAACAGAGGGTCTAGCCAATTATCCCAATTACGGCTATCTTCGTGAACTAACTTACAAACCATGTTCTTTAGTGTTTTGTTAAAGCGCTCCACCAGGCCGTCGGTCTGAGGATGGTGAACACTAGTCCGGATTGAGTGGACGTCCAACAATCCATACAGCTCGTGTAGTGTGCGTGACATCAGGCACGTGCACACATACCTCATTCACACCAACGCAACTCCGGTTCAAGCTCCGTGCTAGAGCTTTTCAGGTTCAGAACCAGTTCTTCGGTTTAGCTCTGGCTCTCTTCACACCGCCCATAGTCCGACTGGTAATGCGTTGTTGCGTCATCGTTTGCGTCATGACGTAACCGTTTGCATGCCTGCTTCATAAAGCCAAACCGTGTGGATGAAATCAGTTGCATTCATTTCTTATGGCTCTATCTGCAGCTTTTCCGGAGTCATTTCTGTGGTTTAGTTATATTCTTATGAAAAAGTGTACTCGTGTCAATAAAGGTTTTTTTAAAACACAACTGCTTCTGAGGTCGGTCTTATTTCTTAAGGTGGACTGAACCATGAGTGTGGAGTAACGTTGTATCTTTCATTTAAATGAACTGTAACCTTCACCCAGGTATGTAACAGCTGTTCTCAAATGAACACGTGAAGTAAAGTTTAATATTTATAGTTTTATAGATGTATAATGAGTTATAATGAGAGGTGATCAACGTGAATGCTCAGGTTCCACCTTAACACGCAGACACGTTGCTTCACCATGAGCAGAAACCTTTATACAGTCTATGGCAGAAACACTGAAACTCTTGTTAAGTTTCTCCATCGTTGGGTACAAACCATAGACTGTATATATAAATGGACGTAGGGTCCGTGACGTCACCCATAGGATTCTGCAGAGTTGCCGTGAAGCCCTTAGTAGGCGGAGTCGGCCACTAACGGCTCGACAGTGACGCCAGAGTTCAACTCCCGCCTTCTCCAGCCTGCTCCAAATAAGGGCAAAGAGGCGGAGCCGAGGCGGGACCTGCTGCCACCGAGCTGGAAGTTCCAGAGCTAGCTGAAGCTACCAAGCTAAGCTAACATGCTCCCCATCTGCACGCTGCCGTCGCATTTTACGTTTCTAAGGTAAGCGGACATGAAACTATTCAGCAAAACTATAAATAATAATCTAAGTTATTGAGCTTTTAGCATAATACTTCAGAATCTTAAAACCCCTTAACGTTTGTATGCAATTGTGCTAAATTCAACACTGGAATCAAGCAAATATTAATATGTTTGCATGACATTAGTTATTTATATTTTGATATCACTTAACTATACGTTTAATACATTTAAGTCAAGCTAAGGTACATGTGATGGTAGCTAGTTAGCGCTCTTACCTGTGAGGCCTCCTCCAAACAGCATAATAACCAGACTGTATCATTAAAACTAAGTACCAGTTATAGATCCTTGACTTTAGACAAACAATTCAAAAGACAAAATATATTTAAAGACCAATCTTTATTTGAATGTGCCTCTTAACCTGAGATATTAGTTATACAGTAATAGTATTGACAATCTAAAAAAACTGAGCAACTCAACAGTCAACTTTATGTTTCTTATTGTCTAAAGCATTTATTATTTTCATTTTCCCAATCTCATATTCAGTGTGGACGGATTGAGACAGCATGGTGTCCAGAGAGCTGCAGAGACTTCCGGGAGAAACCTCAGTGTGATGGATGTCCTGTCTGTTGGTTTGGAGAGGACTGAGGGTCTTTCCTCTGCGAGGAGGACCAGGCCTGATGGAGGAGCCCATGCTGGGCAAAGCTGATACCAACTGCACAGGCCTAGTCGGTCACTTTATTTGACTAAATGTGTTTAATACATTTAATAGGTTTACACCTTCTGTCCATATGTGCTTTTTATTTAAAACATGTGATTAACTTTTGGTTCACATTTCAATAAATTGTATTTGTATTTGCACTCCTTTCCTCCATTATTCTTACTGAAAATGTTAGATTACACATTCACATCTGACTGAAGATTGGCCCCATTTATTTGTGACATTGCAAAACAAGGTACATGTTGTGAAGCTCATAAAGTGAGGCAAATAGAAATAATCAGCTGATGGAGTGTAGATGTGGAAATAGCTGCATTCGATCAGCTGACTGTTTTTACAATAAAAGTAGTTTCTTAGTGAATGTCCTGTACTGGTCTTAAAATCTCATAACATCAGCTTTTAATGTTCCTCTTGGATGTTCTTCTTGACCCTCAGAGAAGCAGAAAATGTCGTGTCTTTCAGGCATGTCCTTTCCTAACAAAAATGACAGGAAACATAAAACATATTATTGCAGAACAAGTGTGTTATTTATGAAAGCGGTGTGTTTGTGTGTTTAGGGACTGTAGATATAATTATTTTGTAATTGTAATGTTTGTTTTTTTTTCAACAATGAGCTACAAAGACAATCAGATTATGAATGAACAGTATGAAGTTCATCAACATTGAAATATATGTTATTATCAAAATAATATTTAACTGTTATCAAAACGTAGTGCAACTGTAGAAGCTTGCTCTGTTGTCTCACTGAAAGAATCACTTTTACCACGTTTTTTACAGACAATATTGAGAGATAAATAGTAGCAGTTCTCACTATGTGTTAAATAGTTTTGCCTTCAATACATTAAATTAGAAAGCTGACAAAGTCATATTGCTTGTTAACATCTAAAT